TGGCTTTGAGGTTTGCTTGTGTTCTCTGTACTGTATTGTGGTTGTTCAGTACACAATTGACCTGTCAGAATCAAATCAAAGTCTTCAGGGTTTTTTGGACTCTCACTTTAACATGTTGGTTTTAGAAGTGCTGGCTTGATGGTGAAAAAGATGCATGCGGCCCACTTATAAGCTCTTACTTTATTTAAACCAGACACACTCAACGAACAGATTTTCCAATCAAGTAAAATTATAACTTGAATTGAATACCAGCAAAATGCCAATAAAACTAATCCCTCTTACTTTGATGATACAGTAACTCCACACAGGTTGTGCAATCAAAATGTCACTAATGTTATTGTCAACAATAGTTCCATAGAGGAGTACCCTTCAGTAACTGGACAATCGTGTACCACAAATAATGTACTTAGTACCCATGGGGTACTGAGGATTTCAAGTGACGGTAATGATCAAAATATAGGAGCAAAAATAAAAACCCAAGACAATCCTTGGGGCTTCCAACAAAACCCCCATAAAACCTGGACCAAATATTAACCCCCAAAAATCCCATGCTTAATTCCCAAGCCCTAGTTTGACTTTACTTTTTTTGCAGAACTATGGGGCCAAGAGGGGCTCTACCACAAATCTTCCCCAAAAAAATCCCTTCTTAAATTAAACCACCCAAGAAAAACTTGGCAAATTTTCTCTCCCAAAAAATCCCAGAATTGAAAATTTCAGACCCAAGAAAATCCTTCAATCATCCCCATCACTTGAAATCTAGAGTACCCCCCTCCCCCTGCCCAGGGCTTAGTTATTAGTAAGGTTAGTACATTATTTTTTTATAGTTGCTCAAACAATGAAAGAGGACTAGTCACTCAAGACTGACCTATTTGTCTTCATAAATTTTTCCATCTCAGATATGCAGAAAAGATCAACAGAACGGACTTGGTGGGAAAAGCTGATACGAAAGAGGAGTGTTTACTATGATAAATAACATGTTGTCTGCATAGAAACATTTTATCTATAAGCAGATGCTGCTTTATCCAACAGATAGCTCAAGTCTTGAACCTTTTGGAGGCTGATTGTAAATATTTATTTAAATCTAGATGAGATACAGTACCATTACCAAGAAAATGCACACTTCAACACATTGGACAATTCAGGAACCGAACTATTGTATTATGTGTGAAAGCCTGTAAATCTAGTTGTTTAATGTCCTTTAACTCTAGTCAAACAAAAGAATTACTGGCAATCTACTTATTAGCAAGACAAAAAGGAACAAAATAATACCACTTATCACCCAATTTAAATGCGGCAAAGGCATTATGCTTAACCCATTCGCTCCTGGAGATTTTGCCGAAAAACGCATTTTGAAGCTAGTCGAGTGGTTTTCTGGTCACTGTCGTGCTATAAAGGGCTAAAACTTACCACAAACCGGTTTACAGGTCGTACACTTTGCGGCCTTCTGATCCAGATGCAAAATATTAGCTTGGGAAGTTCCGGCATGCACAGAAAGCAAAATTTCGACATAGTTTTTGGGTTTAAAAGTGACACAGCAGTCTTGACTTTGACTTTTCGCTTTCTCTCCTCCCTTCTTTTTTCGCTTTTCTTGCCTCATTTTTTTTTCTCTTGCTGGGCATTTAGTAGGCTTCAATTTGGTGGGAAGAGTTTTTAGGAAAGCTTTTAGGATCTTAGGATTAGGTGAAAGGAAAGGTAGGTGGGTAATGGAACAAGATTTTCATGGAGATTTTCAGGTCAATGTCTGGTGGTTTTTTGCTTCTTTCTCCGGTGTCCTTGACTGAATTGTGCTCATTCTGGTATGGTTTGAAAGATCTCTTCACTCTACACAAGTTAGCGAAGAAAGTTGTCCTTGACCGTTAAAACTGATGACGTCACAAAGGGTAGAAAGGACCTGGATCCGTACGGGTGGTTACGGGCGGTTCAGGGGCGAATGGGTTAAGGCATGGTTCATACAATTTTGAAAAGGTCTTGAATTTTAGTGGTCATCTTGAAAAGTCGTTGAATTTTGTTTTGGTCCTTGAGAAGTACTTAATTTCTTTATTAGGTCTTGAAAAGTCCTTGAAATTCACAACCTTGTCTAAGCAAGTCACCATTTTCTGTAAAATTACATCATTTTGCCGAGGAAAGTTTGGCTCATCCTTGGTGTAAGAACCTGTAAAACTTACAGGTAATATAAAAACATTTTTGTTCATGAACTATATTTTTTCCTTTTCTTTTTTTCAAATGCTATTTCCGTACCTCAGATGCATACCCAGTCATTTTGCAAAGCGATTAGTGTGGAAAGTAGTATAAAATAATTATGTGATCAATGATGGCCAAAGAAGTGAAAATTGTAAATAACTTCATGATGTGTTTTAGCCAATGGGGTGATCATAGGGGGTTAAGTAATGACAATTTATTAAATAAATCTTAGTCCTTGAAAACTGTAATAATAAATTATTTGTCCTTGAAAAATCATAGAAAAGTCCTTGAAATTTGTTTGACTGAAGTTGTACAAACCATTCAAGGGTATTTTGCAGAACACAAAATGCTGAATGACACATTTCAAGTTTTGTGATTAGGATTAAGAAACTGAATGAATTTAAGTTCCAGTTCAGTTTTTCATGTACAGCGACCTTTAATAGAACTTAAACCACTCAGTTTCCTAATAATCCTAAATGTAATCAGCATTAAAAGTGGTAAGCAAAATAAACTGTACACCTGCTGATATTCTTATCCTGTAAAGACCTCTATAAATTAAAGGTTACATGGAAAAAAGTCCTACATGCATTCTGATGAACAGCTTGGTTTTCTTCTGAAATTGCCTTTTATTGGGTTAGGAAATTGAGGGCGAATTTCATATTACTTGAGCACAGGTCACCCAGGCTTTATGATAGTACCACAGTACAATTCCATCTGGAAGGTGAATTTGAGAAAATTATCACAAAACTTTGTTTGAGCTTTTAGAACAACAACAACCAACTCAAACTGCAGAGTAAGTTTCATTGAACTTTATAATTTAGTATTTCCTACAAGTTTTAGGATCATATTTTTACCCCATATTACTGTGGTACAATCATAGAGCCTGGATGACCTGTGACTTGAGTAGTCACGTGGGCTCTTAAGGGTGTATTCCATTCACTTAAATCAAGTCTTTTATGGACTAGGGACCTCAAAGAAAATAATTTTCCACATAACCCTGAGCTAAATTTTGTGAGATGTTGCTAAAATGGTCCAAGGTAGTTACCACTGCAATCAAGCAAAGTAAAAGAAACATTTTTAAAAGAGCCTGGCACTATGACATTATTCATGTTGTGGTTAAATTTGTTACATAAAAAAAATTATTAAATTCATGTTATGTGTGATTTTGTCCCAAACTCATTACATTTTCCTTTAACCTGACACAAATGGTGTAAAGTGACCCCAAAATAAACCACAACATAAATGAACAGTAAGTAACACAGTGACACTATTAAGACAACTACATTAGATAGCCAAGCAAGGGATCTACTCAACAGAGAGTTCACAGATATGACTATAACAAAGGGAAAGGACTAACTCCTGGTGGTCACTTTGCCTTGTGTAAGAGACAGTAGGCTCTGATTTAAGAGCACAAAACTGACAAGTTTTAAACAAAGAAAATAAAAAATTAACTGACAATGGGAGTTTTACCCCTTTGCTGAAAATAGAAACCACATCATATTATGCACTACAGTCAACCTGCTAGCATGGCCTTTCTTTCACTTGCTCAATTTTGGTGTACTCAAGAAATACTTTCCATGAAACATATAAGAACTTTGTTGATTATGTGCTGCTTGCTGCTGGGACAACGTTTTCAACCTTGGCCTAATAACTGTGCATTTAGTACAGGGGCTCAGTTATGACCAGTGGTTTATAAACTCAATGAATGCATGCTTGCACAAGGAAATCCACTTTCACAATAAAGGTTGATTAGTCCTGACCTCAGTTGTTCAAACGTTGGATAGCACTTTCCATCTTCTGAACAACTGGGGCCAGAAGTTTGGGTTTCTGTGACATGAAGGGTGGCACTGCAGTGTGCTATTCACACAACACTTCAGCAAACAAACATTCAGTGAAACAAGGGCAGGAAATTTAAAGCAAAATAATTTATTTTGTAAAACAAGGCCTTAAAGTGTTGTCTGTGATGACAGGAATGTTACCCTGGGTACCACAGGCTTCTCTCGCGTGCGGGGGAATTTTCGGGGTTGCACTATAAAGACTTGACAGAAACCGGAAACCGCGCTAGAAAAGTCTCTGGCACCCAGGGTACAGGAATGTGGGAACAGTCTCTATTAATTATCACAAAACAAACATTACAAGGCACAGCAGGTATTTTTTACAGGTCACATTCCACAGGTCAGAATACAGGTCACCGTGCTACAGATAAATAAACAAGACCAGAAGTGTCTCCTAGCCCTAATCCTTATCCAAAATGTTGTTTTTGAAAACACTTGGTTTACTAAACTATCAATAAAACAGTGACCTGTAATTGTGACCTGCAAAAGAAACCTCTCCTAAAATGCAAACTTACAGTACAATACTCATTCAGGGGCCAGTTTCATTGCACCTAACATCAGATGTGACATCTAGAATGTCTGTTGTTTTAACAAAGTTTGTCTTCTCTGAACGTCACACAGCTTTTTACATCCAAAGTTAACATCTATGCACTCACCCCTCGGGTTAAGCATTTCTACTTTTTCTTCTCATACATAAGCTCTAAAGTTCTCTCTTTACGTTACAAAGTGCTGCTTTCTTTTTAAATCAAATAACTAATAATTATTTTTTTACAGTTAGACATAAAATTTTTCTCCAAAAGTTTTCTAAGGAGCTTGAGCTTACTTTTAGCACAATTTGGGATTACTATCTTTTAAGAGGAATAAAAGACATGCAGAGTGGTGATACTAGTAAAAAATTATAAACTTACCAATCAGAAACAGATTTACCAAGGTAAAATTGAAATGAGTACTAATCAAGGACCGGGAGGAAGCAGGAATGTTTTTTTAACTCTACTGATTGGCAAACCGGGTTATCCATTTCTTTGGTGCATCAGACTTCCAACAATTTGTTCTGCTAATTCTTTTTCTCCAGTTATTCAATTTTTACAATAACTCATAGTTTCCAAACACTCGTTGGTCAAGAAAAGTGACTTAAATGATGACACAATTTATCTGTTTTTCTCAGTTTCTCATGCACAACTTTCCAAGAAACTTCGCCACCCAAGGATGTTAAAAACCCTTTCTGTTCTTGTCAAACAAAAGACAATTCTCCACCGTCTGTAATCTTATAGACCACAGAAATGACATCAAAGCACCATTCCACTTGAAATCTGAACATTTCGATGTTCTATTTCTACAAAATATGTTGACATGGTCACTTTGAGTAATGATGCCACTGGACTACAAGCTACATGTAGCTATAACTACAAGCTAAACATGTCAATACAAGGACGGTACTGCTGCTCCTAATACCAGACTGTCTAACCTTTTTGAGTATGTAAAATCGGGATATTTTTCAATGACCGACAAATCATGCAAGTGCCAAAGGCACAAATAGCAGTTTTGGGAGTGCGGCACCATGCTCTCCCAAAGAAATTATGAAAACTTTATGCTCTGCAAAACCATTTCTAGTGTTCTGAGAGAACTTCCTGTCTAAAATGTTTGCTAAATTAATTGTCATTTTTAATGTCTATCTACATGTATGTTCACATGGTTTTGCATACAATGACTCGATCTTATTTCACATTTCTTGTTTTAAAGTTTTCTAAATTTCAGTTTCCTTTGAATATTACTTTGTCAGGTGTCAATCAGATTTTTTCCTATGCTGATCGCATAAAATTATTACAGGATTTGGGATTTTCAAGCAAACTTGGGGGAATCCTGACAAGATCAGGATGGTTGGACAGTCTGTAATACAATAATAATGAAAGCCATTATCCTAAGATCATATTTATGAATGCTTTGACAATCTTAGTGTAAGCTAATAAACTTTTCAACAGTCTTTGGAACAACACCAAAGTAGGACAGGCCAAATTTTCTGACAGCTCTAGCAGCTATGCATTTTAATTCCAGCCGGCTTTTCGCAGAAAGAACTCTTCTGGCTTCATCTGTTTCTGCAACATCCATGGCTGTTTTTCCATCACTGTTTACAAGATCTTCATGTACCCCACCATCTAAAAGTGCCTCTAAGACATCTCTCAGCACTTGCAGGCCTCCAGGCACAGGTTTATAAGCCACTGCTAAGTGTAGAGGAGTGTTACCCTTGTTATTTACTGCATTGACATTGCCACCAGCTTTTATAATGAGCTTCATGGTCTCAACACAAGGAAATTTACACACATCTCGTACATAGTGTTCCTCGGTTGGGGTATTACACCAAACAGCCAAGTGGAGCATAGTGTTGCCTTCATGAGTGCGGGGGTTCAAATGAAGGAACTTCTCAATCAGATCAAAAACGCGAGACCTTTCTTCATTTTTTGAATCCTGTACCTTGGCGAATATTGTCAAGAGATAGAGTGCACGATACACTACATACTCTTGCTCATCTTTCAGTACTTTAGCTTCATGCTCACCTTTAATCTTCTTGGACTGCACTTTCTCTGTCAGTCTCTCATATTCACTAATAGCTCTTTCAAACACTTCTTCGATGTATCTCTGCTTTGGAAGACAATGTCTCTGCACCATGTGGCAAAAAAAGTCTGCAAATATCTTGAGATCATCTGTGATTGGTTGATTACATCGCTGACCAATTTCCATTGCATGTCCCCACAAACCAATGCAAAGATCAAAATTGCCAGAGTCAGCAAAAACAGCACCACGGTACCTAATGGGAAAACGGAGTTCTGTATTATCTGTTCCAAGGATTCTTTCCCTGATTATTAGACCCTCCATGTGAATTGCATGGTCATTGCCCTCGATTAAGGCAAGCTCCGGCAAATTTTGACTTTCCTTTCTGTTCTGGTAAACTTCTAGTGGTTCCATTTGCTTTTTAAGCAATGGGTGTGAAGGTTCTGTAAATCTCTCTTCCATTCCACGTTTCATGTAAGAAAATGCTTTCTCAACATCATAGACATCTGGTTCATTAGCAATGGTACCACCAAGAAGCTCCAAACCTTCAATTCTTTGTTCCCTTGTACACTCAGGTCTCTTGATGAAATATTCAACCATTTCAATCTTACAGTCATTACTGGCCAAGAGAAGTGGTGTCAAACGTTGAACATTTGGCAGTTGCGATGCTCCCAAAGCTAAAAGCTCATTGGCAATCTCAAAATGACCTCTTTCAACAGCGTAATGAAGAACAGTATTGCCTTGCTTGTCTTGTAAATCCATGTCAGCCCCAAACTTGATCAGATAATTAACCACTATCATATGCCCATTATAGCAAGCTACCATCAGAGGAGTGTTTTCAAAGTTGTTGCGCGCATTCACATCAGCCTCATTTTCAACCAAACAGCTAACAATGTCTAGACGTCCATCGTAAGCGGCCGCCCTCAAGGGCGTCGAATTCGTCAGCGTTCTTCCGTCTACATCCGCGTTTTGTGCAATTAACAACTTCACAACATCCAGATGCCCCGTGGCAGCCGCGGCCCAGAGAGGGGTACAACCTTCGATTACTTGATCATCAACTTTCACTGTTCCACGAGATTCGATGTCTGCTTTGTATCTGAGAAGCATTTTTACCGATTCTAGATTTCCATTACGGGCAGCAATTATAATAGGGGTGGTGACTTGATCGCCATCTTTTGTTTTCGTTTCCAAAGCAGAACTTCTTTCGCTGATCGACATTTTTTCAAGAACATTGCTTAGTAGAATAACGGCACCATCACGAGCAGCTTCGTACACTTTAGGCTTTGGGTTGAGCATTTCTCTCCACGACTGGCCATCCATGGTACATATGAACTTCTTAAGTATCGGCATACGAAAAGAAAACTATCCACTTCTTCGACGAACAGTCTCGGGTAGCATTTAGTTGCCCAAAAGACACGTTTACATCCAAATAAAAGTTACTAGAGAGAGTAAGATAAGTACTTTAAGTAATCAGAACGACGATGCAGCTTTTAAATGAGTGTTTCTGCCTTTTTTTCGTGAACTATATAGCGCCAGTACATTTGAAGACAAAGAAACAGAGTCGCGACCGCCATATTCACTTCTTCCGGCAAACCAGTCCCTCACGGCTCAACCACAGGACACCCAAACTGCTTATAAGGCAATATCATGAACTTCCGCAAAATCCGCCTGTAAAGTAAATGGTGGTTAACGGTTCCAATAGAAAAGGAACCTCTCATACCTTATTCTAGGGAATTAATTTTTGTAAGCGTTAATTTCCGCGCCGTTCAGTTCAATGAACCATGGATAACATTATCCATGGTAAAAGACTAAATGTAGTTAAAAAATCCGTGTTCCATCTTTAAAACCAATTTTCTGAATTTTACCCTTTCGAGGCCAACTTTGAAAAAGAAACGGACAATTACAAAAGTGATGAACGAATTTTTACTTTCAAGAATTTATTATGGTCAGGAGCCCATATGGTTCAGTCAGCCTGTGCGAGATTTTTTTTTGGAGTGCAACCTTACGTAGAAATTCTTCTTCTTCTTCATACCCTTTTCGCCACTATATAAGTTAAAAATGAATCAGCACTTTGCCGTCAAGGGCCGAGGCTACCGCCCCTGACGAGGGCCACCCTTAGTCCCTGAGGCCACCGCCCCTGAGTAAATTAACTGAATCACTTAAAGTTTTCATTTGTCAACCGAACCACTAAGGCGAATTCAAAACCACTTTTAACTCGTTACAAAGTTGGCATTTTCAGAGCTAAGTATTTGCCTACACAACTCCTTTTACGACTTCAGAGACGTACTTGTTTAGCTGGCGTTTAACCCTACAGTACATGGACGCCTTTTTTTGTTGATGCTACAACAATAGTTCCAAAAACTGCTCAACTATTGGTCGATAAGCTATGGTCAGTTCTTTCCTATTAACGGCGAGTAAAATAACGTCATATCAGGGACCGCGGAGGGGGAGGGGCTGGTAGGGTTATAGCCCTACCACTTTTTTGCTGGGATTTATTTTCTAGGGCTCTAGCTGACATGGAAAAAATTACCCGTGGAATTATTGGACTTTTCCCTAAAAGATGCACGGTTAGAGCCAGTTGTTTTCGACGAATTCTTATAGCCCTACCACTTTTTTGCTGGGATTTATTTTCTAGGGCTCTAGCTGACATGGAAAAAATTACCCGTGGAATTATTGGACTTTTCCCTAAAAGATGCACGGTTAGAGCCAGTTGTTTTCGACGAATTCTTGAGAACTATGCAGTTCTTATGGAAGAGTGGGATGTTTGCTTGTCCGAACGATTACAACCCGATGTGCGTGCAAGGATAATAGGATGTAAGACCTAAATGGAATGATTTGACTTTTTCTTTGGAGGGCGGCTTCATTCCCACACCAATAATCTATCTAAGGATCTTCAGGGTACTGAATGGAGGTTGGTGCTGGTGCACGAAGCTACCCCCAAACTGCCAAAGATCACTTTAGAAGGGTCTATTGTGAGGCTATTGATCTTATCGTCAGTGCTATCTATCAGGAAAGCTTCAACTCCTATGCCCAGATGGAGACCCTCTTGGTTAAAGCTGGTAATGGTCACTATGAGGCAGAGTTCAAGTTTCTTGAAGCATCATACAGAGAAGATGTTGATACAAGGGCGCTACCTTGGCATGCAACTGAGTATTTTCAGGGGCACCCAACGAGAATATAGTTCAAAACCACTTAAACATAGCATTGTTAAACGCATTAATTTTTAGTACTTAAACTGTAGATATAGGCATATTTTTATCCCCTAGAAATATTTCATCTGTTCGGATTTCCTAGCTGAAAGTATAGTGATTCGAAAATTATAGTTAGAGATCAAAACTTGCCTTTTCGAGAATTTCAGCCAGAAAAAAGGCTCCCGAAAATTCTTGGTGACCTTTTTAGGGTAACAATCCGTTAAAAATGGGCCATTATACCATTCTTTAGATGTTCGAAAACCCTAGGAGAGGCAGGCAAGCAAGAAATTTTTGTTGTTTAAAAGGCTTTTAAGATCTGGAGTTTAGCAAAAGGCTTGTCTTTAAAAAACTTTTAACTGCGACCCACGGGGACATAAAACCTTCAATACAATATCCTCTTCTACCGACAGTCTTACAAAACTGGAAATCCTGTTGGCGCTGTCAAAGTTTCCAGAACCAGAAAAGAAGCTAATTCAGAAAGCCCAAACTATCTGTAAGCTGTCTGCAACCAGCGCTGCTGACGAACGTTCATTCTCATCTGCACGGCGTCTGAAGACGTGGCTTCCATCCAGGATGGGTGACCTAGCAGTGTTGAATGGTCACAAGCGGAGAACAGACAGTGTCTCTATAGATACACAGGAGTTTGTTTCCCGCAATCAGAATCGCAAGAGAAGCTTCGGCACTTAGGAGGTTTATTTAACATATTGCCTATATTGGATAGTATAACACGTATGGACGTTTATGTTATATTTGTTGAGGTGGTAAATAAGATGGCGAGCAAATGCACGATAAATGGCGAAACACCGCCAAATTTTTTAGCCCTACCACCCTAAAATGGTCTCCGCGGTCCCTGCATATCCTGTTAAAATGCTGCCTTTTTAACTTGCTGTGCTTATAAATCAAACACGAGTTCTGCGTGACTGTGAGGTAAGTACCACTATGTTAATAACTCGTAATCAAATTTTCAAGAAGAAATTTAAGAAACAAGCGGGTTGGTGGCCACTAACGTAGGTATGAACTAACTATTTTGAATATTTCGGAAAGTTTGCGAAAAATTGCAATCTGTCATGCTGATTGCAATTCAAATAATTTGTAAATAATAACATTAAAATGGCTTCAGGCTATTACCTTGTTTAAGGATTTTGAAAGCATCTTCTATTCGCATTTTTATTGAACTCAGTCACCGATCACTATTTCGGTCAATTTCTGGTTATGCTCGTCGTTTTTCTTAGTGATGACGAGCTGATTTTCCTTTTGCTGTTTGAAACAATGATTTCTCAAGTCTGTAAGTAAGTTTTGAGACCTTCAAAACCTTTCAACGTTTCAAATTCTCCTTTTTTTTCGCCAACTCAGCCGCAGTTTTCTCATGTTTGTTCACGTCTTCTTAGTGAGAAGTGACCAGCATTAGCCTCGCTTTTGCGTAAGAATACGAAACTCGCCTAAAAAAAGTCAGTACCATTTATCGGTAAACTTTCACTGAAGTTTTCCGTACAAATAGTAAGCTCTCTACAGGCTTTAAAAGGGGATTGATTTGTGCAAATGGGACGTCGCGCCATAAAAAATCGTAGATTATTTTAAGGTTCCAGAGAGTAAAGTGATACCACAACTCTGAAACGTCGAAACGCCGTCGGTTAGCGCATTCTTAAGTTACTGGTCATATCTTTCATTACACTGAGGTGTGTCGTGTGGTCATTGCTTTCCATAATTAAATACTTACTTCAAGGTAAGCCCAGCAAAATGCGCAATTTGATTGGTGAGAAAACTAGGGTTTTTACCTGTTAACACAGTTTTAGATGACTGAAAACCTTTGCTATCGCGTTAAGCCATTCAAGAAGTGATGTCGGCCATAAAGTTCCCTTTCCTTTCCAGCCTCCAGCCCCTCCCTAATCTGCTATCAGAGGGTCCTTCTTCCCTTTTTGTTTTGAAGGATCTCGTGATAGCCCCTCCACTCCCCCCCTCCCACAAACTCCCCACCGCTTTATTTTTTTTTGAGGGGGGGAGGCTTTGCTCCTTCCTCCATGCCCTCGCGCCAGTCCCCTGCGCTTATTCCGCTTGGCTAAAAGAAAAGGGAAACAACTGCTAGGCAGGGGTTAACTTTCTATCAGTTTTCCGCTCCAAACGCCAATGCCTCACATTGAGTTGATGACTGTTCTAGCGCATCCGTATCTCTGTTGCCAATCAATGCGTTTATTTATTTCCCTTTTAAACAGCAACATATATCTTAACTAGAAAAAGGCTTTTTCGATTAAAAAAAATTAATATTCAATGCCAGTTTCCCTCCCATTCCAACGGAAAGGCTATTGGTGGAGGCTGAATTAAACTGAGTTTGGCAAATATCTCCGTTTGACTAACTGCAGCTGTCTACTATTAGAGGTGCAGTTAAAAGAGACCTTGGTGCCTCAAAGGAACCAAGAATTTATTTATCCAGAGGCCCTAGACCTAGCTTCAAAACCTCTTTCAACGGTTACCATGATTCTTAGTCTCTGAATGATGGAAGAGAACCCGCCAAAGTAATAACGAAAAATCCTCAGTTAAGAAATTTTATGCATTATTAGGTATTAATTAAGACTGTAGTAAGTATGGTAATGGCGGGAGGAATTCACGTGAAAGTGATAAGTTATGTTTCCACATCAGGATTTGAGGGTTTTCCTCGTTTAATGAGCTGTTTTTCTCCATTGATGTTGATGATTGGTGTTTCGGTTCTTGTATGCCACACGTATACCTAAAACAACAAGTGAAACGTTGCAAAAACACGTCACCATACAATAGAAATTTAACAAAGGAAGGGATACAATCATTGCATTGCATTATCATTGTTATAAATTGTAACTTTATGCTAAAGTTTTAGCAATACTGTAACTACATAATTATAGTCATGCAAATAAAGCTTATGTTGTTGTTGTTGAATGCTCTTGAGTTGATCGCAATTCAAATTGGGGCATCTCTTGAAACTCTGTTCGTTTCATTATCAGTCGCTTCTGATTCACATGACAACTTTGCATTCATACTCAAGCTCAAAGGTTGTTTGGCAAGTGGAGAGCTACAACGTACTCATTAGATTTCTCACTGACCGTTACCCTATCTATAATGTTATTTGCATCACACCAGTTTCCAAAAAGTGCGGGGCTTAAAACGGGGGAAGGTTTGGAATGAAGGGAAGTCGACCAGGATAGAGAATTAAGTTGCGAGCTGGTTTGACGTGACAAAACTACAACCTTCGATTGTTGTTCAGCAAAACTGGACGAGTATTGGAGTTTAGGATAAGTATGCTCGTCGGAAAATTACAATCGAAAGCACGCGGACTAATCTGAGCGTGCGTGTCTTAGGCTTGAGGAAAAGAAAGCATGCACCGCAAAGTACGAAGGCAATTATTTTGATTGTTTCTTATTTCTGTTTTAACTTTATTAATTTTTAAATAAATATTTCTTTATGTACAACGCCAAGTGATCCCAGTTTATGAAAAAATATAACTAACCTTTTCACCCTGATTATCCTAAGTAAACCGTGATAAAGCTATATTACCCCCAAACCCCATGGACAGTTAGCCTTGTCGCTGGAGACAGAAAGCCTTTACATTTTCCCTAAATTCAACCCGCTTAATACGGACACTTTCTATGGCCCCCTCAGTAACGGGGTTTGACTGTACGAGACGACGAACATCCCCATACCTTTCACGTGAGAATCTCAGGGGGCGAACGGGGTTATTACACTGACTACGTACCTTCATACAGTTGCTTGCCTTAGGTTCCAACTGTTCCATAGTGGTAATCTGCTCTAGAAATGAAGTCTCCAGGAATCCCGGCTTTATATCAGGATCAAATCGAGCCTCCGGTCTTTCTACCAGCAGCTTTTTCAAGCTTACTGCAAACGCCGACATATCAACAGGAAATGTTCTGAATGGTTTCCAGTTGGTATGAAAGCCAACCACATGACCGTCTTCGCAGATGGGACCCGCCCATCTAGCTGCCCCTGTAAATGCCACTGGCCACACCCCAACGGTGTTAATCGTCCGCATCTAATGAAGATGAAATAATTCAGTAAGGTCTGTTATTAGCAACGTTTTCACTAGGTTTTAATTTTAAAGAGATGACTACAGAGGAGTCAGAGGAAGGAGCGCCGACACTTAGCACCTAAGACTATGAATTGGTCAAAGGAATAAGTCTTGCGAGCGAAAATGCTGTTGGTATGGCTACTAGGATCTATAATAGATCGAAATACTTAAAACTAAATTCTTACATTACAAACAAGGCTGGTACTGTCGAAAGAGTTAGTGTTGCAAGACATCAACAGGACACAGATATCCTGCCAATAGAGCTCGGCAGCGGCAATTCAAAAAAATGTTGTTCAATAGTAGTGCAATCAGTTTATAAGAAGACTTTTACAATGTAAAGTGCAAGTAAACAAACTCCAAAGCCATCCACTTGAAATAACCTTCTCATTTTGATGTCTAACGCGACAATTCATTCCGGGGTTTTCTCCACGAAGATTGCTTCTAAGGCAAGTTTCATAAGATAACAACTACTTGCCCCTGTCAGGGAATCCCGAAAATTTTTCCTTGTGGATTACGCAACGGAATCCAGGAAATATTTCCCTGTGGAATCCGGGATCTTGGGCCTTGGAATCCGGAATACAGCCAAAGGTATCCGAAATCCTACTAACGACTGGAATCCAGAATCCAAGTTCCCCTCACAGACACTGGACGAGTATTTGGAATCCGGAATCCAAGAACGTTGTGGATTCCCTTATATAGGGTGAAGCTACTCTTGAAAGTTTTCATTCAGCGAGCGTGATAAAAAAAAGATAACAACATAAAAGAAGAAAATACTGTTACCTCATCAAATAATCTTATGTCGTAGGTATTATCATCATCAGCAAAGTACACCACTCCTTTTGTTTCATTGGCCTTAATATTGTCACGTATCCATTTTAATCCCACATTACGTTGTTCTGTACCTCTCGACTTAGTCCACCATGGCTTATTTCTCCCTATCCTCATTTCCACTGGCGTCCGTACGTTAAGATGAGTATATCTGATGCCAAAATGATTTAAAAGCCGTTTAACCAGATTTGTTTTCTCGTGCGAGTCCTCCACGACAATCCAGTGTAGATTTTTAATATGTTTTAAAGTCTGGGCCGTGCGCGTTAACTCAGCTTTCTGCAAAAATCTCCTATAGGTAGGAGTAATGGCAAAAATTGTCGGCAGCTTAGGGTCCCATCCAGAATTTTGCATGGCTAGTTTTTCTTGTAGTTCTCTTACTTTTGCTTCGAGTTTTTCCAGAAGTAGTTGTTGTTCATAAATTGCAGTTTCACTACATGAAAGAAACTGGTCCTTTGAATTGTTATTTTCCAGTTGAGAGGGAACAGGGAGGGTAGTAATTCCGGGAAGTTTTCTAACCAGTCGACCATTATATTGACTAAAATATAAAGCTGATGAGAAAAAAAGTTGTAAAAAACCAGTTAGACCTACTCATCAAACTCGAATCAAAGTAGATAATACGTCACGAGCTTTGATATCAGGTTTTATTTTCCACTGCTCTCCTAAGTCCGGCGGGTCTCATGTTCTTTCTCTTAGCGAGTCGATTGTTTCTTAACCCTCGGAGGTACAAGGGAGGGGGGGGGGTGGCTGCCACCCCCCTCTGAGGCTTTTCTGAGTTTTTTTCCTAGACTATAAAACATCAGCACCTGTCGTTTTCAGTAGCTGTTCGTTTATCTCTGGCGCGCATTTTGAGACAAGTTCAGTGATGGTCAGTTACTATGGTTACGAGATATGACGTCATATGTAGCATGTGGTGCGTAGTTATGTGTTATTTTTCATGTCAAGCACAAAAAATTAACTTCTCGCGGTTTTGACCTGATTTCTAAATCTTGGTAAAATCTAAGATGGTGACCATTGTTGGTGACATCACAGGCCTCCAGCACCGCCACCACCCATAAAAACATACCTCATCTTGTTAAGAATTAGAAGATCAAAGGCTTTCCACTGAAGGCCTAAATAGTTTCGAAATACTGCAATATATTAAAAACTCTGGGGAGGGGTTCAATCCACCACCCCCCTCCCGTTGGGGGTATGAATTCACGTGTGCAGTCCGAGGGCTAAACCTACGTGAAGGAAGTTGACGCTTCAAGGAATAAACGCGAATTTCAAAAATTCGCGTTAATTTGCAGGGTTTTAATGTTTATTTTCGCACCATTAATTAAGTTTAGTGATTATCTCCGGAACCTTTTTTCCATTATTTTTGCCCCAATTTCTCGATACACTCTTGATTGATAAGAAAAAGCGTTATTTTATCGGATCAGGATCTGACGGTATAAATAAAACCGTGAAAAACGCTCGAACAAAATGTCTCAGAGATTCCTTGGCTTAAAAATATTGTTGCTGTTGTCTCAGCAGGTTTTGTCTCTTTGTGAGCATCCTGTTAATTTCTAGTTATTTTCAACTTTCGTTAACTTATTTCATTTGAAATACCTTAATTTACACAAGCGTCAAAATGCGTGACCATTTCTTAATTAAAATTCGCATCCACAGTAAAGTGTTCATATATGATTTGTTTTATTTTCTTATCGCCTTCTTTAATGTTTTGTTGTATATACATTAACTTTAAACAGATGAAAAATACCTAATAACAGGTATTTACTCAATCAAGTTTACGGTTATTACTCATTTACTCTATCCTCTAATAATCAGAAAAAATATACTAGGTAAAAAATGCACCACCACTTACTTTTAATGTTTGCTTTTTCAATAACATTTTGAAGAACTTTCGTTAGAATTACAATTCCGAGGAGAACGCTGAGAAAAATGACGTATTTGATTGCACCACCACGAAACATCTGCAAGATAATAGAAGATTTGAAATAATAGAACATCCTTAAAGTAAACACAACAAATAACAAAGGCAACCTGAATAAAGCGGAAGGGTGGCGCATTGGTGAGAGCACTTGTCCCCCACCAATGTGGCCCGGGTTCAAATCCCGGTGTCAAATCCCGGTGTCGACGCCACATGTGGGTTGAGTTTGTTGTTGGTTCTGTCCCTTGCTCTGAGAGGTTTTTCTCCGGGTACTCCGGTTTTCCTTAAAAACCAACGTTTCCAAATTCCGATTCGACCAGGAATCAAGTAGACGAAGAACCACTATGTGGATGTGCTACCTCTAAACCGTTATTTATTTATTTATTTTATTTCTTAAAGAAAAGAATAGAAAATTATGTGGCCTATGGTTTCTTTTGTATGACCGTATTCTGTTAGTGCCCGATAAAATATTTTTGTACAGCACATATGTAGCTAGCACTATTCTCGAAGTCTAAAAAATTTGAAGCAGAAAATTTTAAGCAGGATGAAAAAATGTCAAAAATATCATTTTTGCCTAGTTTATTTCTATTCAAGTGGGATAAAGGTGTTTCATCTTGCATCACAAAATTAGTCGTTCTCAGACATCGAAACAATAAAAATGTGTCAGAAATAAAAAATTTTTAATGAGGCTAAAGAAGTTAATCAGATATACCAATGGGGGGGGGGAGAAAAACTAGAGTTGGAGTTACATAAAAACTATCTATTTACTAGACTGCCAAACCTCGAAGGTCCTCGAAGGTATTTTTTCGCGTGCTGAAGACGTCACGTGCTCAAAAACAAAATGGCGCCGTCCATTGTTAAAATTATCTTATTGAATGAAATGACGAAGTCGAAATATTCAATAATTTCCAAAGCACATAATATCAAAAAGCATAACAGTCCTCGGAGTAGTTACTTAAAGACCCTTAAGGTTATAATCTTTTGAGCACATAAGATTACTCGAATGTGAACGTGTGGAGTTAAACCTGGCTGGCGTTTTTTTTTTTTTTCAAGTTCGTTACTGTCAACAATAATGTATCCACGAGTTCGGTGGCATTTTTCGCTTTTATGATTGGTAATTTCATTTTAAACAAAGTTGTAAATAAAAGTTACACTGCGCTGAAAGTCACAAGAAAAATATAAACAGTAACTTACCATTTTGAAGGATTCAAACTAAGACTAACTGAGACGATTTATAGTAACTTTCTATCTCCGTGCAGTAAAACTTTCAATATCTTCCCATCAATCCTCATCCAGTTAGTTATTTAAGTTCCTTCTTTTTTTTCCAAAAGACAAAAGCTCAAGTCCATATGTTCGATCGTTGTCACCACATTTCCGCCCAATCTCTATTGGTGAGCAGCGAAGGCATCAACTAAAAACTCTTAACTGAATACCATGTTGACCGTAATTAAAGTCCGCTCAGTAATCTTGCCAATCGTCTTTGATTCTTTCTAACAACTATTGCATCCTTTTATTTTATGTCTTGTTATTTCCTTTATTCCAACAGCACGTGGTTGCCTTCTCTAAACCTTATACTGTCAGGCCCTGATAAAATTTGCATAAGACCAGTGAGTGCTTTCCATTCAAGACTGGTACCGGCTATTCTCCAAGAAAACCATCAATCTGACATATATGCTGGTTTAATGTCGTATATTGTGACCAAGCTCTTGATTAAGTCTCTACATTTTCACGTGACATATTTTGTTTCGAAATTTTAAACTCTCTCTTGTATAAATTAAAGAGGGGAACAGCTGAAAAATCAAAATTGAATGGAGTTTTTTGAAGGAGCAAATATTTTTGTCGGTAAACAAGGTCTTCCAATTTAATTACCCGATTGGTAAACCAGTACACGTTCCTTAATCAAAACTGTCAAACGTAATTTTAAAAGTTATTAAAACTCCACGTGGATTAAGGTGATCGACGAGAAATATGAACCTCAGTTGGTAAGAAGATGAAGGGGTATCGATAACCTGCGCTGCGATCACACCTTGGCCGACTTTCCCGCTCCTTCTAAAATGAGCAACTAACCGCAGGTTTCAAATAAATTGAATCCATGGTAACAAAACGACATGTGCTGGCCTGGGAACTTGGAAATCTAGATCAGACACATGTTTGTTAGCAGTCATTTCACCTCAACTCGCCTCTTCGCGCCCAGTTTGCCCTACCCCTCCCACAAGTTCTTTCCTAGTCCCGCATGACCCACCCCCCCCCCCCCCCCCCCCCCCCCCCCTCCCTCTTTTTTTTGGGAGGAAAAAAAACAAAATTTCTTCCCCCCCCCATTTCACCAGCGAGGAAAGAAAAAAAAAAGTATTTGCGACAACTTCCAGACAAAAAAACAATAAGTTATAACCTCGGGGGGGACGTCTCTTTTGCGCCCGTCACAGAACAAATTTGTTTTTTTAGATCCCCCACACAA